GAGTCCCAGCCCAGGTGCCCCGGCAGTACCGGCAGATCTGAGGGGTAGGGAGCTGACAGCCACCCTAGGAGCTGGAAGGCGATTCGGGCTCTGTGTCCTGGAGAGGAGAAAGAACCAGGCAGGAGGCTGCTCTGGAGGAAGCTCCCAGTGCAGGGATGTGGCTTGGGCAGGGGCACGGGTCAGCTCAAATAGGCAGATCCTCCAGCTGTTGGTCTGGGAAAACGCATCCAGGGATCCATGGGGTGTGTCGAGTGCTGTCCATGGAGTAGCCTGGAGCTTGCTGGGGAGCACAGTGTGGCAGAACATCAGGCCCCAGGTAGAATGGGCACCATACAGCTTGCCTATTTGGCAAGGAGATGGGGCCAGGGGCTGCTCCAAGCAGGAATAGGGGCGCACTGGGTCTATGCATAAAGATGGGACTCAAGGGCTCTTGTGCCTCTGCATCATGGACCCTGACGCAGCCGTACTCTTTGCAGTGCATGAGATGGGGCTTTTCTGGCCACGGGAGCTTTCCTTGGGGAGCTGCAGAGTGCCGAGCAGAGCACCCTGCAGCAGGCGGGATTGAGCCTCGGCTCCCCACCGGGCAGCTGCCCCCTGCCCAGCCCCTCTGTGCCCTCCTTGCCTGTCAGGGGAGCACACTTTGTGCTTCCACATGCTTCAGCCTGCTGCAGCAATCCGCGGTGGAGGCTGGAGGGAGGGCTGTGAATGTGCCATAAAGATGGGACACCCCAGTCCAAGGATGGGGCTCAATGCAGACAGGGCCAGCAAAGCAGCAGGTGTATCGGATGGTGGAATAGGACCTGCCTGGATACTGAGCTGAGGTTCTTACCTTGCCAGCAGCCTGGCTGTGGCTGGTTTGGAGGTGATAGCTCCTCAGCTGCAGTGGAAGGAGAGAGGTGAAAGCCAGAGGCTGTGAGTTACAGGCCAAATGGTAACTCCTCGAGTTTTTAAGCCCAGCACACACCTCTGTGTGGGGATGTGAGCAACTGACCTCAGTGACTAAATGGGTGCCAGTTCTTGAGTGCTGCACTAGTCCCCCTTCCCCTACCTCCCTGAAGGAACCTGGTAAAATTCGAGACAGGGGCAGAGAGTGGCACTGAGGAGAGCAAAGGTGTGTGGTGATTCCCTGAATTTTCCAAGACAAGAACCAGGGGAGCATCAAATGGAAAGGTGGGTGCAAAGCAAGCAAGAGCAGACATTTCTTCCAGCAAAACACACCTGAGCTGTGGCGCTGTCTGCAACAGTGGAGCATGGGACCCATTAGGCAGAACAGCTGCAGAAGAAAGCAGGAAGGGGGATGAAATGCAGACAGATCCTCTGTCCCAGGATGTCCCTGTGCTGCAAAGGCTGGCGCTGGGGCAGGCGGCGGGTGCACCGCGCTGTGGTGCTCCCGTGGGAGAGCGTGAAGGAGCAAGCTGGGATGCCTGGCTCTGCCGGGTAAGCGCAGGGCTGCTCTGCAGAGGGGAGGCACAGATGTGGGACTGAGCATCACCCTAAGGCCTGGGGTACTTTTCCTCTTGTGACTTCTGGCCGCATTCGTTGGAGCCTGTACTTGAACCTCGCCATGGGTATACCCAGGTGTGCTAAGCTCCTGTGTGTGCAGGGCACCTCGAGCACTCAGCACAGGCACTGCTCAGTCCCATCTGCAGGTGAAATGGCCATGGATGGCTCGAAGAGAATAGTTTTCCATTGGAAACAGGAAACTGGTGCCTGATTCAAACCCACAGTAGGTGGGTGTTCCATGTCCTGGTGTCTCCTTCTCTGTGCCTGCCCTGGCCCTGCCAGCATTGCCCCTCGCTATCAGCTCACTGTGGAGAGATCCCTGCTGGTCATGACAGCCCTGGAGATGGACAAGGTCCTTCTAGGGATCCTGGCCCAGCTTCAGGCAGAGGTGGCAGTGAGGACCCTAGGTGCTGGAGTGGGTCCAGGTGCTGCCATGATACCTCCTTCTTGGGGCTGCAGATAAAACAACCAAGTCAGAGCTACTCATGAAAGCGATCGAGCAGTATTGGGCTTTGGTGCAGTGTGAACAAGCGCAGGAGGGACATGTGGAGCCTGGATCAAGTCCCTAGGCAAGGCACCACCGCAAGCAGATTTGGTCCCTGGGCTCTCCTGCCCCTGTCCAGTGGGTCCAGTTCTGCCCCTTTTCTCCTTTTGCTTGGGTAGGTTTGACGTGTTGCAAAGGAGACACAGGCTCATATCTTCTGTGTCTCAAGATGCAACGAGGGGCAACTGAGAGCGGGGAATGGCAGAGGGCAACATAGCAGGGAGCAGGAATTGCCCTGTTCCCATGTCCTGGCAGGAGCTTTAACCTCTCTGGGGCATGGCCTTGCAGGCAGCGGGCAGATCCAGCTGTGGCAGTTCCTGCTGGAGCTGCTCTCGGACCGAGCCAACCTGAACTGCATCGCATGGGAAGGCACGAATGGAGAATTCAAGCTGATCGACCCCGACGAGGTGGCGCGCCGCTGGGGCGAGCGGAAGAGCAAGCCCAACATGAATTACGACAAGCTGAGCCGGGCCCTACGCTACTACTACGACAAGAACATCATGACCAAGGTCCACGGCAAGCGCTATGCCTACAAGTTCGACTTCCACGGGCTGGCACAGGTGTGCCAGCCAGCCGCCCCCGATCACACCCTCTACAAATTCCAGGGCAACCTGGCCCCGCTGCCCTTCTCGGGCATCTCCAAACTCAACCTCATGACCTCAGGGGTCACGCCGGCCGGCTTCTCCTACTGGCCTGGCTCCAGCCCGTCGCTCTACCCTGGGCACAGCCTGCAGCCCTCAGCCCCCTTCAGTGCCATGGCAGCCTCCCATCTTAACAACATGAACAACCACTACCATTAGAGGCACGGGCGCACCAGGCGGCCCTCCCTGTACCTGGGCGCGTGGGGCTGTGCCAGGCTGGGGGGCTCGCTGGGAGGAGATGGGAGTGGGATCCTGCCCTGCTCTCAGCTACCCACTCCTTGATTTGGAGAGCTGCATGGGAGGAGAGGGGCGGCTGCAGGGTAGCTGGGCTCATTCCCCTAGGAAGGTGGTCATAGGGCAGAAGGCACCTGAATTAAGGGTGAGGAGGGATCCATGACCCTGGGAGTGGGCAAGATACCTCAAACTGGGGTGTAAATGAAAGGAAAAAACATAGAACTCCCTCAGTAGGGACCCACACCCCCTTTTCTTTTGCAACATGCCCCTCACCCCATGAACCCCATCCACGCCTAGCTCTGCTCCCAGCCTGCGCCTGCCTTCCTGTCTCCCCACAGAGACCCTTGTGGCTGCCTGAGCCCACAGGAGGCAGGAGCAGGGGCACCACGACAGCTTTATCCATGGGTGACAGTCCCACTGAGCAGGGGCAGGAGGGGCCCCTCCTTGCAGTGCTGCAATCCCTTGCTGCTTGTCTTCAAGCCCTTCCTTTCCTCCCATGAGCTGTCATGACTCCTGCACCTCCTGCCCCATCTCTGCTTCTGGAGCCCAGGAGAAGCCTCTGGTCTGGAGAGCAGGTCCCCAGTGCCCCTCTCTCCTGCCTGGGTGGATTTGCTCTGGGACAGAGGTGCTGGGGGAGGCGTGGGGACACCGCAGTCTAGGGCAGAGCCTGGAGCCAGTAACAGCTGCTCAACACTCTCCCAAGTGCACAAGGCCCATATTGCAGGGCAGGATTGTCCCAGACATCCTACACGGAGCCCTGGCCCTGCTGTTCTGTTCCAGATAAAGCTAATGCTCATTTTGCTGCAGCTTTAGCCACTTGCATGTGGAATTTGGTGGGAGACCCTCCAAGGATGGGGAACCCCCCCAGGCCAAGGTGCAAGGCTGGGAGGGGAAGTGGAGCTGGAGAAAGGCCAGCACCAGGGCTGTGAGTCCCCATCCTCCAGTGTAGAACTTGGGCCTGGTGGCCAGGAATGGCCCAGGGGCAGAAGAGCTGGGCTCTGCGCAGGCTGGGGGCAGTGATTTATCTTCAATAAAAAGGAGAGGTGCTGCGACCTGTCTGCTTGTGTCCATAGTGGGTGGAGAGAGGAGGTGACACTGCTCAGGAAACTACTGCCACCTGGAGCCTGCAGTCCCTGGTGTGGTCTCAGGGCAGGCCACAAGGTGTCCTCTGGTCCCAGGCAAGGCTGCCAAGCCTGAGCACGTGCAGGGGGCAGGCAGGGTCTCGGGGAGAGGGCCAGGGGAAGAGAGCCAGGCTCTGCTGTGTAGTGGAGTAAAAGCAAAACCTGCAGGGCCACCGAGATCCCCTGCTGCCCCAGCTAGAGGGAAAGGGCTAATTTGGGAGGCAAGGAGCCCTGCAGCTCCTCTCAAGGCTCTCCTGGGGCTCAGCCTACCTCTTCCGAGGCCGGACACTGGTGCAAGCCTGGGAAGAGTTCCCATTCCCACAGCACCACGTGCGTCCCCGGGCTCTCTAGTGCTGGTGGTGCAGCAGTGTGGCCACATGCATGCAGTGCAGCAGTGGCGCAGCAGTGTGGCCGCATGCACGCAGCGTCCCTGGAGCAGGTCACAGCAGCTCGGCCTCTGGGCACAGGGACTCTGCATGGGTTCATCTCGTGCCTGCTCTGTCCTTGAGGCAGTGCTCCCCATCTCATTCCCATCCGGGGTCTGGGTGCCAGAGCTGGGGCTAGACCTAAGGCAGGGATGAGACAGGGGGCTAGAGGAGGACGTGCAATTACCCAGAGCAGACAGGGGGTGGGAAGCCCCCAGCTCCTCTATCTGCTGCCAGGAAGAGAGCAGCGGCGGGACCTGGGGCTAGTGCTCTCCCCTCCATGTCCCTCTGTGGTCCGGTAACTTTCAGGCCCCAGTGGCATCTGCTCGGCCATGTCCTGGCTGCCCTAATCAGCTTAAGGGAGGGGGAGCTGATGTTGATGCCTTTACCACAGAGCGCTCAGGCTGCAGGGCAGGGGGCACTGGGGCTGATCCTGCCAGGGCACTGGGAGGGGGAGACTGAGGCTGCAGGTGGGAAGGCCTCCCCTCCTCGAGGGACCCTGCTCCTTGCCCAGCCTGTCTCCCGTGGACTGCAGGAGGGGAAAGAGGAAAGTACTGGTTACCCCACACCAGAAACAGACACCACTCAGGTTGGAGTCTCACTGTGCCTGGCCTTGCAAGGGCAGAGTGACAGAGTTGGACACAGCAGGATTCGGGCACCACAAAGCCATGGCAGGGGGCTGTATCCCCACTGGCAGAGCCTGCTTCAGGGCTTAGGTAATGATGTGACGCAGGGCAGGACACAGATTAAGAGATATGGGTCACTAGCAGAGCCTCCCTCTGCTCTCGTCCCTCCCATCTCTCTGCCAGGCCTGCACAGGGAAATCCCAGGTGAGCTTGGCTTTCTCTCGTGCCCCTACCCAGATCCCTGGATGTGCCAGGGGACAGTTACCCTCTCCAGAGAGGGAGGACCATCGCGTGCACACCCTTCCCCCGTGGAAGGATGCAACAGGCTGCAGCTCAGGGGTTAACTCCCCTCTGACATCTCCCGCTGGACACATCCCCTGCGCTGTTCCCAGAAAGGCACCCCAAATCCATAAGTCAGCCCTGTGCTCCCTCATGGCCTGGGGGACATCAGGCAGGGGACAGCCATGCAGGACAGCAGGGATGCTCTCCTCTGCCAGAGGATGCAGCAGGTGTCACCATGGCAACCCGGGATGCTCCCATCCCACGGGGGACCAGCACCGCCCCGAGGCAGGGAGCGGGCAGAGCATCACCCCCCGGCACAGCCCCGCTTGCCCCCCAGCCCCGGGCCGACCCACCCCGCAGCAGCGCCGCTCCCCACAGCCGTCAAAGCCAGCGGCTCCGAGCAGACTGCAGCAAAATCCTGCCAATGGGGGAGCGGGGCCACGCGCCCGGCGCTGCTCCGGCTGCATGGGGGAGTGCAGCCCCCAACCACTCAACAGGATGGGAATGCTTGTCCTGGGGGGGTGCCGGGGGTGTGTGGAGAGGCAGCTGGCAGGAGAGATGCATAGTGCAGGGGTGGGTATTAGGATGCGTGCAGAGCCCAGGTGCCAGGGCCCAGAGCACTGCCTTGCGCTGCTGCGCTGCAAGTCAGAACACTCCCCCCGCGTGCCAGGAGGGGCAGAGGCACCAGGCGTCCTCAGGTGCCCTGCAAAGGGTGAGATCGTGGGTGGGAACGAGGTTCCGAAAAACCTCAGCCTGTGCTGAGCTGGGAACAGTCAGGAAGAAGAGCACGTGGCCTGGGACATTTTTGTGCTGCCTTGTGATTAAAGGCAGAAGGCTTTTTTTCCCATTATGTATATATTTATATGCATGTATGTATATGTATATCACTGCCTGGCTTCCCTTTCTCTCTGTTTAGCTGGCAAAAAGAACAGGATTGAGCTCAGCCCTGGCTTCAGCCTCCTGACAAGCAGCAGAGGGACCCTTCCAGCTCCCCCAGACTCCAACCATGCAGCAAATAATCTAAGCGGGGCTGGAGTAGCCCCCCTCATTTTCCCAGGGCTACATTGTCACTTTCCTAATTTCTAACGCTGGGAAGAGCTTTTGTAGCATAGCCGGGTCATATCTGCCCTGAAGGACTAAGGGCTGCCTCCCTGCCCACCCCTTCCTCTCCAGCTCTCCCAGCTCCCACCTATTTCTCCTCTCCGCATCCTCCCTGTGCTGGCTCCCCCTCTCGCACCCCACCCCCAGGCTGCTGACTCACATCCTCTCTCCAGACGCCACCTTTCCTTGGCCCCGCTCCCTGCAAAGTGCTTCGTGACTGAGCGTGGCTTGGTGGGGACCCGCAGGTGCAGGCAGCCAGGCTCTGAGCCCCGGTGCAAAGCTGCGGCAGGCAGCCAGCCACGCGCTTCTGAAGGATGCTCTTCCCTCCCCCTTGCAGAAGCGCTGGGGCTGGGGGCTCACCGGAGGCTCCCTGGAGATCTGGCAACTGCCTGGACTGCCAGGAAGGAGGGGAGACAGCAGCTCCAGCACCGGCCCTTCTCCACAGTAGGAGGGAGTTGGGGTCTCGCACACGCCGTGCAAAGCCTCACCTTGCTCCAGTTGCCGTCCCAGTCACCTCCGACGGGTTTGGTCCCCGAAGTGGCTGCACCAGGGTCTGTCTCACAGCCTCAGAACCACTGCACTCCTTGCAGCAGCAGCCCCAGAGCGCTGTCAGGCCAACCTCGTCCCTGCCTTGGCCAGGAATGGAGGGGACAGCTTTTCTCCTCAGTGCCCAATGCATTCGGCACATCTTGACTTTCCTTTCCTCCTTGACCCTGTCAGCCAGAGGGAAGCTCAGCCCCAGAAGGGCAGGCAGAGCCCCTGGGACAGAGAGGCAGCTACTCAAGTCCATCTGCAAGAGCAGGGCAAGCCAAAGGCAGCTGCTGCACCAGGAGGTGGAGGGGCTTCTCTCAGGTGGAGGGCCCCGCATCTCCAGCCCCTTGCAGCCTGGGCTCCAGCTCCCTGCCCTATTGCTGGGCTAACTGCCAGGGACTCCTCTTCCTCTGGTCCTGGATGTAGGTGGGAGGAGATTCATGCACCTCCAGTCTCTTCCTTGCTCACTGCCCTCCCCAGACACAGGGATGCGCTGGATGGAGCCCCAACCCATGGCCCTGCCACCACCTGTAGTCACGACCCCCCAGCCTGGGCACAGAGCCAGGAGGTGGGCACCTATGTCCTCCTCCTCTGCGGAGGGGCTCTGGGCTGTGAGGCCATGCCTGACACCTATGCATTGATATGGGATCTAGATCCAGGCTGTGGCCTGTATCCTTCCCATCCGGAGCCTCTGCCCTGCTCCCAAAGCTCTCTCCAGGGCCCCCAGTACAGTGTGGCCTGTCACAGCCCTTCCTCAGTGCATCGCCCCTGCACATGTCCAGGAGGATGGGGGATAGAGACCAGCCTGGGCTCTGTGTGGACTCCAGTGGCTGCACAAGGGCTACTGGGGGAAATGGTTCCTTAGTGCTCCCATCTGCAGCACTGAGACCTTGGGCTG